CCACCTCCAAGGGCACCGCCGACCGCCTGCCCCCGATCCGCGCCGCCCACTAGCCACCAGCGGAGGCGCGGGGCGGGCGGGGGGCGCCCGTGTACATAGTAGACGACCGTAGACGTGGACGTCCGGGCGGCCTCTCGAGACAAGGGGCCGCCGGCCGCCGCCCGCCAGCGACACGAGAGACGCGCGGGCGGGCGCCTCCACACGGCGTCGGTCCGCCCGCGGGGCCAAGGCCGCGGGCTTTTTCCCCGCGCAAAAGGGTTTTTTGGGATGATTTTCCCCTCCGAGAAGGACATTTTGAATTCCCTTTGAGAAGGACTTTTTATTTCCCATCTGAGGACAATTTTTTCCCCTCTAAGGACATTTTTGTGACAGTTTTTCCATGGGCAGTGGCTATTTTTTCCCCCATCATCCATTTCCACCCCGAAGACGCCCGCACCCACCCGCCCCAGACCGGGCGGGCGCGGGCGTTCCTCTGCATCCACGACCAGCCTCCCGGTCGCCTAAATTCCTCCTCACAATCAGAAATCCTCACCAGAGTCCCTCGCGAGCGCTCAACACGTGCTCGTTCCTTTGCAAGATCCTGCAAGACACAATCACCCTCACCTCCCCTGAGAATGTAGCCTCAGTGTCACGTCTTGTTGCATGCCAAGCACAAATTAGAGGAAAGTCTAGAATCTAATGTATTTTTATAGAATATAGTTGAAGGCCCACACGCGTGTAGTTTATCACTCGACGAAGAACAAGACAAAGTCATTATTTTTTTGAATTTCTATTAACGTTGCATGAGATGCGATTTTTTTCGTTATGATTTGCAAAAGTGTGGAGGAAAAGTGCCATTAAGGCAATGAAATCTGCTCGTTCCCTTGAAGCCGAGGAAGTATGTCCCTGTGACTTGACCGCCGATTCCCTCAAAAGTCCCTAAAAGACTTAAAGGAGTAGCCCTTCCCGAAGGCCCGTAGTCGCCCCCAAAGGAAAGGAAGAGCACCTTGTTCGTTCCGCCCCCCCCTCCCAAAAAAAAAGTCCCGAAAGAGATGGGCTTCTCAAAAAGGCGCCCATAAAAGGAGGGAATCGCGGCGCTGCCGCTGTGGGCGGCGAGGAGGGCGCTGAGGGGGGCAGAGGGGAGTGGGTGAGGGTGGCAGGCCACCCATGTAAACCTCCGTGTGTGTCATGTGTATCTACACCCATGTACATACACCTCGGATCCCGCCGCTGCCCTGCTGCACCCGGAACACCTGCTGCTGTTCCTGCTGCGCCTGGACGTCCTCCCGCGGGGCCTGCTTCTGCCGCCTTCCTGGACGCGCCCGCAGCTCGGCGTCGTCGTCCGCCCCGGGCACGGCGGCCGAGTCGCGCGTGTGCTCGCTACCGCCCATCTCGGGCGCCAGCGCGGACGCCGCCGACGCCCGCCTCGGGACCAGGAACATCAACGCCCTCGCCGCCAGGTAGGACGCCCGCGCAGCCCCGCGCGGGCTCTCACGCGCACGCGTAGGTATATATGTATAGATAATCTTTTTCTTTCGGAGAGTCCCTCGTGGGGTCCCCGCGACAGGTCTTTCTCCTCTGATTTAAAATGATCCTTGTCTTTGCATTATTATCATCGGTACTATTTTGATATATGTTATTGTTCTTCTCTTCTCCTTCCTCTTGTTCTTATCATCATCATCATCCTCAAGTTACGATACAGCTGGGTCCAAGGCATCTTCGGGTCCCCAAGGCACAGGAGCTGACACCACTCAACGCTCATCTAGTGTCATCCTCAGCGTGTTTTGCTTGAGCAGATTGAGCGAGGACGACACTGATCGATTCACAGCACTGCAACCCGACGGACTCTACAATAATGCGGGGCCCTTCATCGGCAAGGCACTTGGTGCTGCCCGACGGAGAGCGAGGCAGAACTCATGTCTCAGGAGACGCGAGAGGCCTCGGAGGGGTGCCTTGGCTTGAGTGGCTGGTGACCGAAATCTACACTGATCCTTTGCGTGCGGGACGTGGGCACAGCTGAGGAAAGATTTTTAGAAAGAAAGATTTAGTTTCAATTACACTTGTTACAATGGATATTCTTTGCTGTGACCTACTGTCTGTTTTATTTTGCTTCTAAACCTCACCCTGTGTGCAAGGGATGGCCGGGGTTACCATCCATTGGAAGCGCGCAGGATCGAACGTAGGTCAGCAAGATTGCTAGACCAGCACGTTACCATTGCCCTACACAGGAGGGTCAAGGAACAGCAATCAGGAATATTGGAGAGGGAATCGAAAAACCGTTTCTCAGTAAATGACCTTCCTCCTGCCTACTAAGCCAGACAGAGCTGAAGGAAAGCCCCCTCCAGAAATGACTGACATCCAGCAGTGGATGGCCAGGTCATCTTGAATGGTCAGCAGTGAAGTGAGGTGTCGTGATCCCTGTGTCTAATCCTGCCACACGTGAGGATACCCCCGTCCCGACAGTCAGGGGGCGATCTCCCACATGAAGGCTGGTAAAGCAGTGGGTGTTCGCGAAATCCTT